GACCTAATACTCAAGCGATTAGGACAACCGGGCCATACCTTTGGAGCTTGGTCGGATCTTATGTCTTGGCTAGCTTCTCCTGTCTCAAAAGAACGAGCAACTCTCCGAAGGTTAACGACACAAGCAACGGCTTTCTTTCTTTGGAAAGAACGTAACTCACGCACGCACAATGGATATGCTCTTAGCCACTCCGCAATATTCAAGCAGGTTGATAGGTGCATTAAGGACATTCTTCTTGCACGACGACAACGAAAGAACTTCTCCAATCTACTCTCTTTATGGTTTGCCCACGAGCAAGAGCTTTCACTTGTTTATGAGACCTTCCACATTGTTTTGATTAGGCTTTTTACCCTTTTTTTTTGGGCCTCTTGAAAACTACTAGCTTCGCCAAAGCTTATGTAACAAACTGTTTCTTTTGGTATCTAAATTTACATTTTATCAAAAAAAACAAAAAAAACTGTCCATGAATCACAACTACGTTAAGAGTAAAGACTAGGAGTATAATTTTTGAACATTTAACAGCGGAAACCAATTGTAAATATACATGAATTCATCATATCATATACAGACTATTTTCTGTGGTAACAATTGAAGCAAATCTTTCCTGTACAATGACAACTCGCCATAGAAACAATTTACCCCCAGAAAGAAAGAGAGTGAGGGAGAGTAATAATAATAATAAGAAGAAGAAGATTGTGGTTTTAGCCAAGGTACGGCAACATTGGGTCCAAGCCTAGTCCTGACCCTCCCAAACTACCAGGGTCCGCATGCTTTACTCTCCCGAAATAGCGTATGTGACGCAACAGTCTCGCAAGGAACGTATTGTGACAGATTGTAGAGCTATCGCATACTACTGCCACGTGCTTCCGGGCTCTTGTTATGGCTACGTTCATCCTTCTACTATCCCCTAGGAATCCCACTGCACCTAGGTTGTTCGACCGCACCTAACAATTACAACACAGGAAAGACATGAGTCTTGTTTATTCTAGGCGAAATTCCCAAACAATAACAACTCTGTTAATCGCTTTTTGTTTTCACTATCAAGTTCACCTAACATACAAATGGATTTATAGTTTACTGTACCATTGAGATGATCACTGCATCAGCCTCCCGCCCTTGAAAACTGTCGATGGTTGCGACCTCAACTCCATCAGCCACTGGAAAATCATCCAGTCTTTCTCTGAGAAGTTGCACCTGTGCAACATATGGGGATTGAACGGCAATAGCCATTGGACTTACACCTACAATCATGTCCAACAAGTTGCTTATTAGGTTACCAAGCTTAAATACAGGAAAACCGTTATTATGCGTGAAGCTTTTGGTTCTTCAAACTCAGCCTGGTTTCTAAGTTACAACAAACTGAACAACTCAGGTAGACACTCAACTGAAAAAATTATAGCACTCACCTGCATAAATCAAAGAAATGACATGATTAACCACGATATCTGCTTCTCCTTCGTTGTATAATGAGCCTGTACCAGCTGGATCTAGACGCTCCTCGCAGCCCACTGATAAACTACCATATGGCATTCTTGTGTCAAGGAGAAGCAGCGGACATTGCGTTATCCAAGTAGGCTGCAGTAAAAAAAGAAAATAGATCTTGTTACATCTAAGAGTCATGTACTCATCATAAGAAAAACAAGAAGCAAATCAGATATTGCAAGCTAAGGAGCAGCATAATTCAAGTGAGGCCAAAGAAAGCTGTGAACAATTTACACTACAACCGCAAGCAAAGATAGTATCATCCAACACAAATTAACAGACTCATTATAGAACCGAGTTCTGCTTTATTGGAAATTTTCTAAAGAGTAAAAGGATGTGTGATTGCATGCCATGTTGCCATCACATAAATAACAAAACCAAACAAACAGCAGAAACAGTATGAAGAATTACCTTCACAAAAGGAGAATCGATAAGCAGATGGGAGGCCACACTTGGAGCAGATTTCAACCATCCACCATACATCTCCTTGGATGCCCAACCAGCGATTACATCATTCATACGATACTGAGTTGTTAACTTTGTTGCAAGAACTCCTTCGTGTAAAGATGCAGCTCTTTCCAGTAAGGATACACCAAGCCCGCCTTCTAAAGCTTTACGTGATAGAATAACTGGTGCTAATTGGCATGGATCACCGGAAAGAATACAACGTTTACCTTGCAATATTGGGATCCAGCATGAAGGCTCGATCGACTGACCAGCTTCATCTATAACAACCAAATCAAATGTTTCCAGCCTCCTAATCAGAGGATCAGCTGCTCCAATGTTAGTGGCGAAAACAACCTGTGCATTTGATAGTATTTCCTTAACAGTTTCTTTTTCCTTCTTCTTCATCGTCTTTCCAAGCTGTTTCAAGAGCTGCCGAATGCCAGCGGCAAGAGAATCATCCCTCAGGCATTGCCGAAGGTCTTTTCTTAAATCTGACTTCTTCCTTTCCAATTCTGCTCGAAAGCTTGCAAGCTTAGAGTTCACAATCTCGCCCAATGACTTTGAAGCAACAGCGGATGATATTCTTGCAGGATTTCCTACTCGGACAATGTTTAGTCCAAGATGCAGGAGCTTCTCGACCATATTATCAACAGCTGCATTAGTAGGTGCTGTTACAAGTACTCTTTCTCCCTGCTGAACAGCAAGGGTAATGACCTCCTTAAGCATTCCAGTCTTTCCCGTACCAGGAGGTCCTTGAACTATCATGACAGGTCTTTTTTTGTTTACTCCCAGAGCTATGGCCCTCCTTTGGGAATCATCAAATAACTTACCGACAGGCTCATCATTCAACTCCGCTTCACTCCAGTCTACATAATCATTCTGCTCCAGACATGCTATGTCTTCCCCATCCCCAAATAAAGTCGCCACTACAGAAATTGATGGATTTTTTTTCTGCAGCCCATTCTTCTGCAGAAGCATTAGGGCTTCGCAGTTACGCTGCAACAGGAGACTATAGTAAGCAAGTTGCAGAACAAAAAATAGTAATGTAAACCATCAATATTTGAGCAAACATTTGCAATAGCAGGCCTTGATAAGCATATCTGAATGTCATTAAAATGAAAGTTACAGGAACTAAACACTGTATCTTCAACCAATATGGCACAAAGATATACCTCGTAAGTAAGGGCATCGGCCAATCCATGAATACGATCAATTCTCACACTCTTTCCAAAGAGCTTGGAGAAAGTAGGATCTCCATGACGGGATTCTAAAGCCACACCAATGCTGCACCCATCTTCTCCAAGGTTGTGAACAAACCCCTGCGTACAGGAAGTTGCTCCAGCACCCCTACTGTCACAAATTCTTATGCAAACCATGTCACCAGG